GTTGGGTCTGGCTCAGATGCTGGAGGCTGGCTGATCCTTTGTCTTAAAAACAACCACCTCTTTGATAGAACTATTAGCAACGGATCGACCCTGGCGCCTGTATAAAGCACATGCACACATAAATGCACATACGCGCAAGTTCACAAACATGCACATGTCCGAAATTCCGGTTCTTGCAGAGAAGGAGGTATGAAGTCTGTACGCATGTATGCATAAAATCGAAGGCATAAAGCTGAGTCCACGTAAACAGACCACGCAAGTCTATACAAATATACTGTTTGTACATGTGCATCATGTAGCCTGTATAAACGAGAAACTAGTCGAAGAGTAGGAAGAATGTGCAAATAGTCGAGCAAGGGAAAAAGAAAATAAATGGCGCGGATTAAAAAGGAGGAAAGCCCGAAAAGAAGTAAACATTAAAGAATGATGAATAGACGGACAGGTGGATGGATGGCTGGATGAACGGCTAGATGGATGGGTGGATGGGCGGATCAACCAAGAAGTGTGTGCATCGATACATGGCCAGGGGTGTGGGTGTGATGACAAGACAGAAGCAAGCATGCTTGAACAAATTGGCGAAAGAGTAAAAGAAACGTCTGGATGGATAACGTGTCATAAGACAGGCGGCATGAGAGAGGAGGAGGAGTAGGAACGAGTGAGGGGGACGGGCCGACAAAGTGCATAAAGAGACCTGTTTGATTGTGCCACAACGCAAGGGTCAGTTTGGCAGCAAAGTCAACAAATACTTTATTTCTTTGATTTTTTGGAACCAAGACTGGGCTTTCGACCAGGCAATCGGTGGCTTAAGTCACTTCGACGAACAACAAGAAAGCCGAGCCAGACAGAGCTGACGACGGGCCGAGTTTGGCCGAGACAGCGGACAAGTGCCTCGCAGACAAGACACAATCGAAGGCCTGCCCTACAATGCGGTGCAGTGGCCGAAGTTAGCAAGGACGCCTGAGAGTGCCGTAACCTTGGTAACGTCATGCTTTAATTTTCCCGCTGATATCAGAGACTGTCAAGCATTGGGACTTTATGGACGTTTGGAGCCATAACAGGATTCCGTGGGTTGGGTCAACGATGGCTACGATGAGAAAGTGTGTATTTGACGAAAATTCAGTTGTCGATATAGACTTTCGTTTAAAATGGGCAAAGTGTATCTTGAAGAGTCTCAAGAGTGCATTTTAATCTACCATTCGGCGTTGGATTCACATTGACTCGAAACGAAAAGGGGCACAGTTTTGTTAATCAGAAGGTTATTGAGACTCTCGGTATATGTGATACGTAAGAACTGTATTCACTTTATTTCATTTCATGTAATGAAGCACTGTTAGTTGAACTTTCCAACAATCAAATTTCATATGTGACATTTAATGGAAACGCAAAACCTATTCATATGATTGTGAAAAAATTCAACTACCAGTCCTTCATGCCTTTAAACGAAATAGGATGAATATGCTTCTTATAACAATCTGAATTTAGTAGTAGAGTCGTCGAACTACAAGTTGCCTGTCTCTCTACATGTCGTACGACCAAACGTGTGTGTCCTTCTAATTGAGGCAGTTTCAGAGTGAAAAACATTTTCAGTGCCAAGGGCAATTCACTAAGCTTTCAGATCTCTTCAGAGCCGAATACGATTCTTAATCAATTTGGGTAACCTTGACCTATCCTGATCTTACGATGTCTATAATGCCGAGACAGACGAGAATACGTTTGTCAAGTTACAAATACCCTCCACTCGCAAATTCAACGAAATAAAAGGCTTAACGGCAAGATCATATCTTACATTAAAAGTTGTAAATAAACTTTTGACTAAGTTTATTCAAGGCTTCTTTTAAAATTTACGAGGTCGCAAGCAATTCGCCCGATCGTAAATATTATCGTTATGTGGACAGAGCATTTAATAAATAACAGCTGGTTAAAATGCAGTAATGGAGTAATGAAGTGTTAGAATGAATAAATTATGCATAAAAAATTTTACAAAAGCGGACAAATAAATAGCCATCATGGACAAATTGTCCTGTCCAATTAGAAAAGCACCATCAAGCTTATCTTCACATTTACTACCTGTATCCAAATTAAGTATTGTTGTCGTGATATGAGATGTATTCACCCAATTTGGTTCAAGGTAATGAAGGACTGGTAGAAGAAGAATTTTTCCACAATGATATGAGTTTAGCTGACGTTTCCATTGAATTTCACATAAGTTTGCTTTCCCAAAAGTTGTTC